GCGGGGCTACAAACACAACTGCTGGACTGCAGTGCGCTCGGTGTGCCGTGCCCAGTGGCACAGCGTCGGCGAGGGGCAGAGACGCGTTGCCCTCGCTCGTCATGTGAGCTCACTGACTAATACTTAGTGAAGGGAAGGTGCTGCGAACCGATCGAAATGCAAGTGCTTTGTGTCTCTGTGCGCACGAACTCATTTACATCTTGATGAGTGTCTCCACTGTTACTTCTTCTCTCTGTCTGTTTGCTGTTTTGTTGGGCCTTGCTTTGTTTGTTTCTGTCATGTTTTTTTAAACTTGTGGCTTTGCATGTTTTCACGGACTGTTCTGTGGTGGGACTGGATGCTACTTCCTGAACACTTGTCAAACTGTCAAGTTTTCTGTTTGTCTCGCCTATCCTACTGATTACTTTCTTGTGACCCCCATAGTTTCATCTTGAAGAAAAAAGCTCAGTCTGTGCCTGTTCTTTGTTCCAATCTGTTACAATCCACCCCAGAAGGCGAGGGTAACCCAGGCTCTTGTTAATAGATCCCTTGGGGCGGATTAGAATGAAGGGACACTAGATGATCACTGTTTGTAAGTCTATATGTATATATATATGTATGTATATAGGGTTTATTTTAGAACAACTTTGTTGCTATGGAAAGCAGGTACGTAGCTCTTTTGGCTATTATTATCTGTACTAACATAGCAATATGAAAGAATAAAAACATCACTTAAGACAATGTATAAGGGAAAAGAAAGAAAGAGTAAGAGTAGAAACATACCACCATCCCGTTAATCTTGCAATAAGACTTGATTGTTGCCATTTCAATGTCCATTGGTTGAAGTGATGGTCACAGTCTTGATCTGTGGACTGTGAGAGAAGTCTTTATGTTCAGGACAGGTGGGAACGCCCAGATACCTCCCCTGAGGGGGGAGCTTTCAGTCCTCTGGTGAAAGGCCTCAGAAATGAGTCTGGGGTGCTTTGGGGGTCTTTGGTTTATGACACCTTCTAAGACATGGCAGCTGCCTCTCACATCAACATAGTTGAGCCAGTTATGCCCCATCAGGATGGATGGATACCCTCAGGCCTCTGTGTGAATGTGACCTTCCCCGGGTGGAGGGGACCCTGTGTGTGTGTGTAAGGGAGGACAATTGGCATGATAAAAAGCACTAGTCCACTTCGCAGGATCTGCTGCTTACCTGGCTCAAAACTTGGCTTGTAGCCTCTGGTGGTGGGTGTTCACCCTCTCTGTCTTGTGTGAATCGCCACTACACACCCAAAAACTCGCCTCCTGCAAACCTGGCCTCAGCAAAGCTCCCTGCTGCCTCCACAAATGGGCAATTGTTTTGAGCCATTAACCGTTCAGTCTCTCGCACAATCATATGTTCACTTTGTACCATCACATGCTTTAGGAGTTTTAGATGTGGACTCTACTGTCATAACTTTGGTTTTCATAGAAATTTATCTTTCCATGTTTTGAAATCTGGTCTTGAAGAGAGAAATATAATGTGAAAGTTTGGAAATGCAAGAATTTAATGATCAATTTGAAAAGAGGCATAAGTGTAGCCATTACCTAATTCTAAATATACTGGCAAAATCATAAATTACATGGTATTTATTGCTTACTTCTTTTTTCTTTAGGCTTACAAGCTTTCTGATTCTGTGCAAGTTTCTAAATAGGTGTACACCTAGGATGGGTTTGCTGACTGAAATCTGTGGAGTTCTATCATTTCATAGTGTTTGCTATCGTAATCATAGTGTAGGATTTCTTACCAGAGACTGGCAAGACTGTTCCTTTTGCAACAATCGAATAAATTTAAAGAAAAGGCAAACAAAACTCCTATCAAGTTAAACAAAATAAATTGTGCTAGTAACTTTATTTTAGTAGCCACAGAAAGCTTTTTACTAGTGTATAGAATTTAACCATAAGGAAAGAATAATCTCTTCATTAACCACTGGTCCCAAGTGTAGTCCACACCTGTAATGAGAACATGCCATTAAAATGTTGAGTTCTCCTGTCTTGTTTCCACAAAGATGTGTTAAGGAGACAGTACTTCTAGCAAAACACTTCTAGAAAAACTTGAAAAAACACTTCAAAACACTTCAAAAAAGAAGTTCATGCTTCAGAGTGGAGACTAGAGGTGTGGCTCTTGCACTGCTGGGGCAGTTAGGACAGTGAATGCAGGGTACTACTTGCAATCTGCCCGAAGAATGTGTAAGAAAATCTCAGAACTGTGATTGCTTGCAGCATCTCATCCCTTGCTTCCCTGTCCTTAACTTTTTTGTATGTATAACACTTGAAGGTACAGGATTGTTTCACGAGTCAGGTGGAACCAACATGCAACAGATGTTATTTGTGCATGTTATTGCAACACTGAGTGTTTTCATAATGGAATTATGATCAGAATATGAGACTTCGTATTGGAAAAGATGGAATTGGTTGAAGGGACTACCTTTAGTCATGTTAATGTTGAAAGTGTATAAATCTAGCTTAGCGCTGAAGGAGTTCATACATATTACTCTTGTAAAGTGTATGAGTTTAGCTTATGTCATGTTCACTTGATGGAAGAACAGGCTGAGGTGCATATGTGAATGATTGTATTTGTATCTTCTTTGGTGAGTCTTCATCATTCCAGTATAGCAGCTTCCCAGTCTTGAGCTTACCCAAATTAATTTGAAAAAAGTTCTTGATCTTGGTAGTTAGACTGTGTGTGTGTGTGAGGCCTGGTCTACTTAATGGTAGTTTAATGAGAAGAGTAGTTTTCTAGAGTAATTGCAAGAGAAACCTTGATTAGTTATAAAACTGGGAATAAGTTGTGATATAACATACTTTCTCAGTGGAAAACTTGATTAAAATGATTTTTGAAAAAGAAACCAACTCAAAAAAACCCCCTGCCACTTTCAGCAAATACTGTTTTCAATTAAGATGGTTTATTTGCATAGGGAGAGTGCTGATAAACTTTAAACTGCCCGTTTCTTTTTTGTCAGCCTATATGTTTTTGTACAGTGACACCACTGTTGTAACAGGCTTTCTCACAGCACAGTAGCAATACTGAACAAATCATGAGTTTCAAATATTTATCTCTTCTTCCTTGACTATGCAGCATAATGTGGCTTCTTTGCTTTCAACTTTTTCCTGAAGTTGTCTTTTATGTTAAAAAAGACATGGTTGAAGAATTTCCCCAAGGCAGTGAGGCTACTGTATTAGATTGTGGAATAAATGCACAGAAATCAAAAACTGCCCTCTGAGTTTTCTGCAGAGACAACTGCAATCCGTGTGAACAAGTTCATTTGTTGGTCTTCTTCACCAGGAAGATCAATGTGCAGTGTAACTTAGCATGGATATTGCATTTTGTTTGGTAACAGTGCAATGCACAACCCTGATTTTGCTTTCACTGACAAAAATATGTAGTAGTTGCAGCTCAGGTGTGTGATGTGATGTAGATGTGTAGAGATAGTTGAGGCTTGAGTATGTAATAAGAATCACTGATTCAAAGTGACTTTTTCCATAAAAATAAATGCATTGTGGGTCTTTGGGTTTATTTCTGTAACTCACTTAAATACTTTGTGACAGGGAAATCTTTGAACTCTTTCCCTGTCTCTTGTTGTCTGACTCTAAAGTCTCAAAGTGTAGTTTATCGCAGGAGTATTTGCCAAGTCTCAGTTCAGCGCAGGCTGTGTCTCACCTAAAAAAAAAAATCCATTGCGCAGGCTGGAAAGGTAAAAAGACCTTTCCCCAAATCTTCGTTCGCGAAGATGGGCCATTATTTGCCAAGTAGTTGTAAGAGATTCTGATCCAAGGGGCCATAGCTGTTGATCCTTAAGAGTGACCTGCTATTAGCTTTAAGGCTTCTCTTCCTGTTGCCAACTTATACTAAGGTTTTCCTATTTTTTTTAATGCTTTATAGTTCTTTTGTTTGGAAGCCATATTATTTGTGAGTGGTACGTTGCACGCAAGTGCTAGTGTTCTAGAAAGTTTCAAAGGCTGTCCTGTGCTACAAAAAGGTGTTTAGTTTTTTAATTTGACTCTCCACAAACTGTTTAGGAGTATCTTTTCTGTGGATTCTGTATCAGTTGCATTCCAGAAGGATGTATGTTACATTTTTCCAATTGCTGAAATGGGAAAAAAACAACTTTTATCTGTAAATCTTTAATTTAGAATAATGTAGCTGCTTCTTAATGCAGAAATGATCCCTAATAAACAGACCCATTACAACGCACTCAGCGAACATGTGGAATAATCCCAGCCTTAAAGGTAAGGTACAATAATCTACAGTTTCAAAACTTGTGAAGAAATAGTTTGAAAAAATTGAAAGATCAATAGAATCCTGGCAACTTCCTTCCTAGTTGTCTTTCCAAATGTTTCTGTAGTGTTGTAGAGTTTGCATTATGAGTGTCTTCACAGACTTGATCTTTTGGTTGGCATGTAAAGAAACATTACAAGTCGCTTACATGTTTTAATGTTGGAATGGTGATGGCACGTGCTACTCCACAGGGATGTCGGTGCCACTTTTGAGTGCTACTTGTAACAGATTGTTCAGTGGGTTAACTTTAATGTGTCTCAGCAGACAATGAACGTTAACTAAGCTCTTGACTCAAGGGTATGATATCATCCTAATAGTTATTGGGTAATGAGCAGTTTGCTTTCAGGTAGCTTTCTCTGCAGAAGGACACACAGATAATATGTAAAATCTTTAGCACTTTTTTTACAGTTGTGACTTTAAATGTTTTTGTGATTTTTTTTTTTTTTTTTTAATCCTTGAAAAGTATAAACACTTAGCAGTGGTAGTCTCAAATTTGCTGTTGCAGGTTTGGCTGATTTACTTTGAACAAAAGGTTGATTAGGCATGGATAAATCAATGGAAAAACTTGCACTGATTTAATGGACCAGATTGTTCAGCCTGCTGTTGAATGGGTGTCAGCAGGGGAAGGGTGTTGGCTTTTCAATGTGTTTACTTATGCTGCTGTTAATTAGTAGTACAAATTGCACTTAAGACTCCTTGTTTTATTATTTTTCAGGGCATACAGGACATATTGCTGATATGAATATATTTTTAGATGATCCAGAATTTGCAGAGATTATTCTGAGAACAGAACAAGCTATAGAATGTGGAGTTTTTCCAGAAAGAATCTCTCAAGGATCCAGTGGGAGTTACTTTGCCAAGGATCCAAAAGGGGTGAGCATGTTACTGAAAAGTCAGGGACACTATCAGCAGTGAATCGAAAATGGACATTTAAAAATTCTGTTTAAATGGAAATTCATTTAAATAAGTTGTTTAATAATTTATTGTGTGCCAAAATTGATGTTGGAAAAATCAATGCAAGTAATAATTAAATTTCTACGTCTTGCAGCACAAGGTAAGGCAAAATAACTATTATTTCTCTGCTGCAGTTTTGTTGTGTTTCGAATTATCTGCATCAAAGAAATATGGAGAAAATAAAAGGGCCTCTAACATCTGAAAACAATTCAGGAATTCCTTTGTGCCAAATCTTGTTCTCTGTATGTTTTAGTTGATTTTTGACACAACTGAGCTTCTGATTTCAGTACTGTTTAGGCCTCCTACATTTTTATCTCTTCTCTTTTTAGATAGTCTTTTATTTAGGTCATGCCTCCTTTCTCCTATATGATTGGTAGATGGGTGAGAAGAATGATATCAAATCTACCTTTTTGCTTGAACCTGTCTGCTGAATCTTAACTGGAAAATTTGCATTCCCCTCCCATAGTGGTAGATAGTACCTTGAAGAGTGGTCATCAAAGGGGTGTCCTAAGGTTACTTTGAGACAGAGAAGTAACAGTTACCTGAATATCTCGCTTGAAAAGGAACATTTGGTCAACAATATTTAGTAACAGAAAATGATGTTTCAGACATATTTTCACATTGTTTTCTTTAAATTAGAAATACTTTGCTACCCACCTGTTTCATAAAATAAGAGTTCCAACCCCTCAACTTCTGTTAATTTGTCATATCTGATTTTATTTTAATATCAGTCAGGAGTTTTCTGGTCTTAGATGTAGGTGTGCATTAATCCTGAAGATCCCAGTTGCTCAGTTGTAACATTTTGAGTGCCTAGGTTTTCAGAATATATTCAAGATTGTTGTTTTTCTGTGCATTCCCATAACAGTCACTTCCCTTTCATTTAGGAAGTAGTTTGGGTTCAGTTTAGTCATATCATTGATCATTATAGAATATATTCCTGTTTTGTCAGTTAATTTTCACAGGTTTTTTAGTTTATTTTAATGCCAATTTTCTGGTGATAGTTTTTACACTTTTTTGAATGAGTCATTTTTTTAGAGTAGTTACCTGACTTAATATAAATAAATGTATAAATTTATGATTTTATTAATGAATTTATTGTTATGGGAGGTGGCAGAATTACCCCTTCAAAATCTTCTGAAAACTGCGCATTGCAGCTCCATTATTCCATTGTAACCTGTGTTCCAGGAACATTTGTTAGTAATGATCCCCGTTATTCTGCTGGAGAAGAGCCCAAGTAGGTTGGGAAGGAGGGTCTCTCTCTTTTTGAAACTGGAAGGAAAAAGAATTCTTTCTCTGATGACTTTGTGGGATTCTTGCTGTCACATACAATGCTGTAAATATGAAAACCTTTTCAAATTTTCATCTGACTTTTTAAATGTTATGTTACTTCCTGATTTCAGTAGCTTAGATCTTTGTAGATTTCCAGGTTGTGTACTTATATACACACATTCAAACTTTATTCTATTTGTAAAGAGGTATTTTAAATTAGGTTTATATCTTATTTAATATGCAATAGAAAAAAATCTGAGTAATAACCAAATACTGGTTTAAATTAATACTTTTTCAAAAATCCAATGCATGATGTGTCTAAAGAGTATTCTACAGTGTCATGCTAAAATACTTTACAACTGATTAAGTGGGCTTTTTTTGGAGTTTTTCTTAATGCTGTGCAGTTGAGATTTTTTTATTCTTAGAGAGTTAGGAGAGAAATTACTAGGGGGAAAAAAAAAATCATACTTGTTCTGTATTTCCATATCTGCAAATCCGTTTTCTCTGAAGCTTCTCCAGACTTGATTTTGCTGGATTTTGGTGACTCACAGATGCCTGAGACACTCGCTGTGCACTGGTGCTAGTGAGAGACTACTTATACATCATTTTTGTGTAAACATAACCGTAGCATTTTGGATGGGGCATATTATTCCTAGCTTCTTATGTGGTGATTTTTTTGTTGGTTTTACTTTTCTTTTGCAGTAAATGTTGGTTTTGTTCCTAGTTAAGTTCTTCGTAGTGACTTGCCTTCCTCCTTTATGTAGGTCATTGATTTGAATGCAAGTATTTAGGAGAAATGATTTTAAAAAAGAGACCACTTATTTTATATGGGTCAGGAAGGATTCATCACAAAATATGGAAGTATTTGTCAACATGGAACTGTGAGAATAATGATACACAGTTCTTAGCAGACTTTCAATTTTGCATTTGTTCTTTGCAATAAATTAAGAACTTATCTATGTTTGCTATCCATATTAAAGGTCTGATAAAACTTAATTTTGTCAATAGTGTTATTCTAATTTGTAGAATGGATTTCAGATCCTGTTGGACTGAGTATTGCATCATTCCACTTCAGACCAGTTTTGTGAGTTGCCTTCTCCTATTCTTCTTGAGTAATCTCTTCCTTATGCTGGGAAGGAGCTCATTAAAGAAGTGCTAAGCCTTCTTACTGGTCAGCTTCTGAAGTGTTTACCCACACTAATGCTAAGTTACAGGTAAAATAAGCTGTTTCCATTAGGTCATCTGATTTGCTGATTTGGGTCTATCAGAAAGATAAAAGTCAATTTGCCTAATTAAAGTAGCTTTTTGCATTTATTAAGAAAAATTATATAATTGTATGCTGACATGAAGGAGTTCTGTACTTAAGCAGCACTATTGCTGAAGTATTGCATATTTCTGTATTTGTTGTTCATTGTGTAACCAATAAATACAAGACATTGTGTCTGTTACAAATTGTTCTGCAGTAGGTTCCTGGCGGTTTAACTACTGGCTAATTGGTAATGCTAATGGAGTCAGTCTGTAAATTAATTTTGACTGGCAAAATTAAGACTGGCCTTGCTAGCTTGTCCTACATATTGAGCTTTCTGGTTCTACTCTGGTCCTCAACAGTGGTGGCTCTGCAAAATTTGGCAAGGTGTTCTAACTTCAGTGAAACCTTGAAACCATATCTGGATTTGACAGTATAGCACAGTACAGTCCAGACAAGTGATGGAATGAGCTAAGCTCCTTTTTCAAATGGGCACTTTGTAGGAAGTATTTTCCAGAGAGTGATTCAGAAAAGAGATAATTAAAGGTTTGAAATGTACCACTAAATACACCACAACATTTCTGGGAAATGCAAAGCTGGTAGCTTTGTTTTAAGCAGGTAGATACATGTGATTCAATAGGAAAAAATTAAATAACTTTTTAACATTTCTAAACCTCACATTGTAATTTTGATTAAAATAGTGCACCAACTGTTGTGATTTAAAAATAAAAAATAATAATAAATAGTAACATATTCAAAAACATGATGTCCTTTCACATTGCATAGAATATTTATTGTAAGTGTAACCATTTTTGTAGGTCTAAATTGAATTGAGACTGCAGTTGCATAGAACTTGTTCTTGGTTTTGAATGGTTTTATCTACAATCATAGATAACAGCATACCAAACCCAAGAGAATTCTTGTCAATTTATTTCCTTCCTCTGTTGATAGGAAACTTATTTTACAGTATGGATGCAAATAATGGTATTTTGCAGTTTAGTTCTCCTGGAAGTTGATGGGAATGAATCAAAATAGATGGATGAGACAGATGATGCTGGTAATGCCTGGTATCTTGTGTATCTGTTTCCAAAGTGAATGAATTAAGTCCTCTGTAGTTACTTTGTCCTGGACAATCTTGGACAAAGCAAGATTGTCTAGGACAAAGTGGGTGAAAATTCTCTAGAAGCTAAACCAGCTGGTCAGATCCTCTCCCTAATCCAGCCAAATCAGCAGTTACTGCAACAGTCTTCTGACTGCCAGCAAACTTGTTCCTGACCTGAGTGTCAATCAGCTCTGAGAACTGGTGCAACAACAGGCAGTGTTTAGCTTATTGAGAGGTCCACTCTTTTGATGAGGATTCAGTAAAGTACTAATATGTGAAAATGCTTCCTAAACAGTTGTTCTTAAATATCTATTAGAAAGAATTGATTTGCTTGCCATTGTGCCATGAGGAGGGATGAAGATAAACATTTCTACAGCATTCCACGTGAGCTATAGAAAAGTCATTATATGGACTTTATGCATAGGCTGGAGTTCATCACAGGCAATTGAAAGGTTATATATTTTAGTCTGGTAATAATCTTGTGGTTTGAGGTCAACAAATACATAATCATATGTAGAAGGCACCTTGAGAAATCCTCTATTTAGTGCCTGTGCTGTGGAGCAGGATTGTTTTAACGTGAGTCCTGATAAATGTCTAACTAACCTCCTGTTAGTTGCATCCTGCTTTGGAGACTCCAGAACCTGGCAGTCTGTTCCAGTCTTGAGCTGCTCTTAAGGTTCAAAAGGGTTTCTTCTTTGCGACTTATCTGCTGGGATTTAAACCTATCATTTTTTTGCTTGTCAACAGTAAATGTGTTTTTTTCCTATAACAACCTATCAAGTAGCTCATAAGGCCTCATTTTCTCTTAGCCTAAACAACCTTTGTTCATACCACCTTTCATTATTCACATATTTTGTGCTTATTCTCATTTTTTTTCAACTTTCTCCAGTGTGTTAACAGATTTCTTGAAGCATAGTGTCCAAAATTGGACACAGCGCTCTGATTAATTTTAGTATTTACTACATGTAGTATTTACTACAGGTAAATGGTGGCTGATGGTGTGAACCATTGTCAGCTTTAAATTGAGAAATCTACAGAAGTGGTAAATGACACCACTCTTGGGAATTGCAAAGTGCAGAACCTTTTGATCCATTCAAACTCAGAGCAATAGGAAAATCGATTTAAAAGAAAAAATGTAACAGTCAACTATTAATGTTCTTTATGTTTGTCACTTTCCTGGACCCACTGTGTCTCCATCTGAAATAGCCTGTCCGTGAGTTAATTGGTAGGCTGAAAATTACTTTTAAAGCTACTTTTGCAACCTCCTTTTTAAAAAACTTAGAATACAAAAAAAAAATATTTTAAAAACAGTCCTCTTAAATTTTGAAAAAGAAAATAGTAGTTGGTTTGGATTTTCTCTTATGAAGAGCTTATTTTGAATTTGTACTGATCCTAGACAGGCATTTGATGATAAATGTATTTAGAATTTCATTTTGTTTGTTTTATTATCTCATCATCTAAAAAGAGCAACTGTAAAATGCCGTGTATAGGATCTAACCAGTATTTTCAAATAACTAATTTTTAAACTAATTTTGCAACCCAAAGTGCTCATATTTTAATTTTGTATTATTTATCTTAGAAAATTATTGGAGTGTTCAAACCAAAATCTGAAGAGCCTTATGGACATCTAAATCCAAAATGGACCAAATATTTTCACAAAATTTGTTGTCCTTGCTGCTTTGGCAGAGGCTGCCTCGTTCCAAATCAGGGATACCTCTCTGAAGCTGGTGCCTATCTTGTGGATGAGAAGCTGGGGCTGGGAGTTGTACCTAAAACTAAGGTAAAACACATAAATGACTGAATAGAAAACCCCTACAGTCTCTGGACTGCAGCTATGTAGATATCCTTGTGGATTGTCATTTGTAAACTATTACAAGTCTAAAGGCACAGTGGTTTGGTGTAGAAATAGTGACTGTGACTTTTGTTTTAAAGGATAAGTTTAATTGAATCAGAATGGAATCTTTTCTTTGGAACCACTTCAGTTTCTAGTATTTTCTGACACCTTTTGTGCTTCATGTTTTGGTGAGATGCAAATTTGCAAAAATCAGCATATAAAATTCCCATTTTTGTTTGAGATCTGTAAAATAGAAAATATTCACCTCTATAAAATTTCTGTTGGAAATGTCTGATGCTTCCTTTTTGATTTTTTTTTTTGACAACTGAGCCTAAAATTTAATGTAAATTTATAATTTAAATAATAAGGAATTCTGAGCTGTGTTTAATTTTCATATTTTAAGGTCGTCTGGCTTGTCAGTGAGACCTTTAATTACAGTGCAATAGATCGTGCAAAGTCAAGAGGAAAAAAGTATGCTTTAGAGAAAGTGCCAAAAGTTGCTAAAAAATTTAATCGAATTGGACTACCTCCTAAGGTAAGATGAAAAATAGGTCATTTGTGCACTTCCTGATTCTTACACAAAACTTTGCATTAAAAAAAAAAGAGAATATTTATAAGTAACTTAAACAGTAGAATAAAAAAATTGTTGCTTACTGAAAACTACCTCTAAATGTCTGAAATTTTGATAAATATGACTTTCTGTGCAAAATCTATCCACTTTTATATCATTCCTTCACTTGAACAACTTTAATAATCTTGGCACTTTTTGTTTCAGTTTACAGTCAAGCTTTCTGCTGGAACTTGTTGTACATTTCACTTCTTTTTTTGTATTTATTGATTGTTTAGTGCATTTCCTTTTAGTATCACCTTTTTATATTGTCAGTCTTTTTTCTCTGACATTTATCTAGTTCTTTAATTTTTCCCAATTTTTTTTTCCTTCTATTTTTTGTTTTATTCTTTTGGGAATCCTATTGTTGTGTTCTTCCTACCTTCCTTTTGTCTTATGTGCAGACTATGTTATTAAAAACCTGGCATCTTTCTTGCCTAATGAGCCTTACTGTATACCCAAAATATCACTACACTGTTCTAATCCTAAGCTTTTAAAGCACAGGTTACGTACAGCTTGTGTAATCCACTTGTATCAGTTCCCAGCAATTTAGATCCATGTGACACAGGTTGTGCAAGCTTTGCATGAGCATGGTTATTCCACGTGCTCTCTATTTATCCATGTGTTTGCATGTGTTTATCTATCTGCATTTTACTTCCCAAATATAAGTTCTTTTTTGAATTTTAATCTTGAGCACCTCTCCTGTTTCACATACATATGGAGCCTATGCCATCTTGGACTCTTTTGGGAAATGTATTTCAGTCAATTTTGTGTCTTGAAAAAAGTGGTTAGTGCTGCTGTTCTCATCAGTGACGGTTAAAAGCTGATCAGAGAGGAAGATTTTTCTCTTGTCATTTTTACAGTTTTCTCTGAACTATTAAACCAAGTGTTTCCAGTGAAAAAAGAGAATAGATATTATTTCTTGTAATACTGACTGTTCATTTGTGTTGAGCTGTCTGGCTACATTTCGTTCCTGGTAAACTCAGTGAGTGTTTAAACACAGATTAAAAAGAAAACAAAAAAAACCAAAACCACCAAAAACGCTAGAAAAACACTCTCACGATTTGAGTCTTACCTTTTTTTTGAGTTTAGGAATGAAAGAGAAACCACTTAATAATCCTTTTTTTTTAATGTCATACTTGCTGTGTTCTGAACTTTAACAGAAAAACTCATTATGTACTTTCAAAGTTGAGATTACTTATGTGACCTACCCAAGTGTATTTTCCAAATGCTGTTTCTTAATATTTCAGGTTGGCTCCTTCCAGTTGTTTGTTGAAGGATATAAGGAAGCTGACTACTGGCTCAGGAAGTTTGAAACTGATCCTTTACCTGAGAACACAAGGAAAGAATTTCAGTCACAGTTTGAAAGATTGGTTATCTTGGATTATGTCATCAGAAACACAGGTATTTATTGGTGTCTCTTGGTATCTATCTACTTTTGTGAGGCAGAAATGGTAAGCAATGCTGGCTGAAAGCTGGTGTTTAAGACTTTTAGTACACTTCAGATGCTTTTCTCAAAATTGAAGGCCAGAAAGTTGCATTTTAAACTTAAAATAATTTACTTTGGATTGCAATATGAAAAAATCCAAACAAGCCTTTTGAAGTGTTACTTGATATTTTTAAGCAATGTAAGACTTCAAGAACAAATAGTTTCGTTATGCTTTAATTCTGTGTTTAGGGAAACTAAAGAAATACTTCATACCTAAGAACATTTGGTACATTTGTGGTCATTCACTGAATCAGTTGCCGATACATTTCAGTAAAGCTAAAACACATGTATTGTGATGTAAAGAAATTTTTTGAACAGTTTTGCGTGACTTACATGGGTGAAGTGTCAGTTTACAATATTAGTCATTGTGTATCACTTTAAATGATGCTTTCTTTATATGTGTTATGTTGTGACATGCATTTTTTTGTTTAAAGACAGAGGTAATGATAACTGGTTAGTCAGGTACGAAAAAGAAGATGATGGACTTGATCTTTCAGATAAGGTAAGAAAATTGTACTCTTGAAATTTATATTCTTTAAATTTTTTAGTTTTGTACCTTGGTCTTGCTGGGGATTAAGGACATGCCTTTAATCCTGGTGCATGGTTTCAAGATATATGATAACTGCAAATTATTCTAGGCAAAATGAGGGGAAAAATTATTTTTTTTAGACTAGTCTATATAGAACAGTGCTAGAAGTTATTTATATTTTTCTGTATTTTGACTTTACTAGGTTGGGTTATAATAATAGTAAAAGTGCCCACTGTTGCTCAGGCACATTTTTTCAGCTCTTTATCTGCTCAGCTTATCTTGTATTTGGGGAAGGGCTCCTCTTTAATGGGGTTAGAGTAAGAGTTATATATGTACTTGAGTTTATTTGGATACTGCTTTGTATTGTATAAGTTGAATTTAACCAGTGAAGCTAAAAAGTATATTATTTAATATTTTTAATGTGTTTCACTGTTTTTGTAAGCACATAAATATCATTTATTTTTTAAATATTCCTTCAACAGGATAGCCAATGGACTATAACTAAAGAATCTATTAAAATTGCTGCAATTGACAATGGTTTAGCATTTCCTTTTAAGCATCCTGATGAGTGGAGGGCATGTAAGTATTGCGTTCTTCTATCATTTTCCTTTCAGGAGAATAGCTTCCAAAGAAGTATTTTTTATTTGGGTTGTTTTAGTAAGAAACTAAGAAATCACCGCTGTAGTTATATTTGGAATTTTTAAATAACATACTCTTCTTCAGAAAGTTAGCAACAAGTGCGATTTTTGCAATGGCATATGTGATTTAGTCCATTTTCGTATTTTTTACTTTTAAACATTGTTAATACATGGACACTTATAAGCGTAGTACTGTATGTAAACTGACTGATGGTGGAATTGGAAGAATTTAGCAACATGTTTTTCACATGTGTTTTCTTGAAAAACATGGTGGAAAATTACTTGGGTGAAAGGATATGCAAGCTGTCTTTCTAATGGCCAAATTTCTGTTTCAAAATGAAACGTACTGTTATAGGTGGACAAGTAGACAGGTTATTTTTTTCTTGTTCTCATCTTTAGCTTACTTTCTAGATGTTAATATTTAGTTATCAGTTTTTACTCTGCTTGAAAATACTATTACTGTTTAAGTGAGACTGCTTTTGACTACAACTGTGATTATTTATAGTTTAAAGGGAGGTGCCCAACAGGGTTTCCAATTATTTCTGAGGGCTATTAGCCAAGCAGGTAATTATGGCAGTTAAGTGTGGGCTAGTTAGACTCTCAAAAGGCTAGTTTATTATTCCAACCAGGGCTTTGTATAGTCTCTCTATATGTTGATACTAAATAATTACTGTCCTACATATCTCTTGGCTACAGCCACTTCTGTAGCTGTTCTAGAGACACAGGAATTATGGCTTATTTTATACCATCTATTACTTCAGAATCAAAAGTATTAAACTTGCATGATCCTTTAGTATTCTTGTGCAGTTGGACAAATGTGATAATTTTGTAAAGGAAACTTGTAGCATGGCATTTACAAATTGCTGCCTCTTGATACATAGAGCAAATTTTCTTGACTAGTGCTGGTTGGTCATCAAGGATAACCTTCTAAAAACCAGAGAGCAACCTATGCAAAAGGCAGGAAGTTGGTCCAGCATGGATGAAGTGGGAAATCCTGCCTGAATTCGGGATGCAGATATTAAGTACATTAATTAAAAAAAAAAAAGAAGGAAAAAAAAGATGTAGAAACTCCTCTGAAAAAATAGAAACTTTGCCCAAAAGTGCAAGAATAGAGTTTGGAATGTCAAAGCTCAGCTGGAGTAAAGCTAGCAGAAGACATAAAGAGCAACAAGAAAGGATTAAGTAAATTAGAACTGAGGATGGGATTGAAGAAAAGTGCAGCAAAGACCTGAAGGCAAAAGGTGAGGAAAGAAGTTACTCAGTGCTGACTTTGCCTCAGTTTTCACTTGTAAGATTTGCTCTCAGGCTCTTGGGTCTCAAAACTCATAAGCAGAGCCTTGGGGAATGAATCATTACTCAAAGCAGAAGAAAGGGAGCACTTAAGGAAAATGGTCATACGGAAGTTCATTACTCTTGCAATATATTTTGAAAAAACCATCTAGTAGCAATTGAGTAAAAAGTTAAGAACCTGCTCTCAGCATGCTTAGAAAGCATTTTAAAAAACTAAAAATTACATTAAAAATAGTAGCTACTTTTTTGTTAATTCATCAATGAGTCAAACATGTGAAAGATTTCTGTTTTATTACAGCTATTATTTTACTCCAAAGGAAACTGCATTGCTAAACTAGGAAAAGGCCTCTTCTCGTGCTTACAGTGTTTCATTTGTATACTTTTTTTACTTATTGCTTACTATGTTTTCACTGTTTGCAAAAAAGGATTAGCAGCTGTAAAACTGCTCTTGCAACTGTAGCCAAAAGGGGTATGTGGGGAAACCATGTTGGAAAAAAGTGATGTGTTACTGAGAACATGCAGCAGGTAGCTCAAGAATTTAATTTTTGCCTGTTGTTAATCACTAAGTGTACTGTTTTTCTGTACTAGATCCCTTTCACTGGGCTTGGCTTCCTCAAGCAAAAGTTCCTTTCTCTCAGGAGACCAGAGATCTTGTTCTTCCTCGCATTTCTGATATGAACTTCGTACAGGACCTTTGCGAAGATCTTTATGAACTGTTTAAGGTGAATCAACTGCTTCTTTGAATCGAACGTTACTGAAATAGCTGATACCTGTAATGGAACAGTTAAAGTCATAAAAAGAAAAAAAATATAACTTGTATATCACGATATTGTGCTATTTTAGCTCTAACATTGGCATGGTCGAAAGGGTTTATGTAATTATAAGGAAACTGTGTCATCAATGTGGTTAATTTATAGTAATCAACTCATCTGAATACATAATTACCTATTATATATCTAAGTTTCACATAATCAATTAAAGCCAGTTAATTCTTATAGCACAAATTTGTGTAAAAACTCCATTTAACATACCTATGTGGTGTGTATGCACTTAAACTGTAGCAACCTGAGGAAATCATGTATTTAACATAACTTAAAATACATGCAGGCCTTTTGTGTGTATATATATATATATTAATTTTACATACATATATTGTGCTAAACTGATGCTGAAATCTTGACCATGTTTAAAGTCAAAGTCATTTTAAAGGCACTAAAACTGTGCTACAGTATTGACATGTAAAGGTGTCCTTATCTGAAATATTCCACAAACAATTGTGTCAGGTGTTCAATTGAAATAATACAAATAAGCATTGAAAGAATTTGAAATTTTCAACTTTTAATGAAAGTACAGCTGTAATATCAAAACTGGATCCTGAAACACAAATATTTGTGTCTTTGACTCTGAGTTTGTTAGTTGAAGTATTTAATAAATCCAAGGGAGGAAGTATTCTTCTGCCAGAGTACATGGGAGAGAAAGAGCAGTGTTAACGTTATGTAATGGTATTAAGCCTGGTATCTACCAGGTATTGGTATTTACCAATTGCCAAAAGAGATATCCACTGATGTATTTTACTTCTGTGATGTGGAACATTTTTCATTTTCACGTATGTAAACTTGCTGCAATAAATAGGCCTTTTTGTGGGTCATACTAGGTTTCTATTTGAAGCTTTCAAAAATTATTATAGTGTTGGTAAATATGAGTATGCTTATTATGATACTGATGATTTTACATACTAAATATATAGCTGAAAATAAGTGGGTAATTTCCTATAATAACTGTTTGTTTTCTTAATAAAGACTGACAAAGGATTTGACAAGGCTACTTTTGAAAACCAGATGTCTGTTATGAGGGGACAGGTAAGTCTGCTTTTCTTAGATTTTTATTTATGTATTTAATTTGTCATCACTTCTCAACTGCTTTTTTCAGAGGAATAAAAACTGACTCCTGTTGAATGGAAAGACACTTGAAGGTATTTTCACCTAAGAAGACTCAATTTCTTCTTAGAGTTTGTGCCCATTTGCATATAGATGAGACAGCAGAAAGTGTATGCTGATTTTTTTTTTAATAGAACATTTTCTTAAATAATTGGATTTTATTGGTTTTATGGGGGATAGGGGAGAAATTAACTGTGTATTCTTGGATGGCATTTTAAAAACGAAATATTGGAGAAGAGTCATAAATTTGGATGGAAAATTTGATGTGTAATTTCATTATGCTGTTAAAATAAATGTGACTTTATTTTGGAGGGTTGACTTGATTATTCAAATACCTCTCACAAGAAAGCAATATTAGGTAATAAAATTTCTTCATCCTATCAAATGTTAAAACTATACTTCAAAACAGTCAAGCCATTTTCAGATTAGAAATTTGATGATTGTTAAGTGTTGGGCTTTTTTTTTTGTTTGTTTGTTTGTTATTTTAAAACACCAAAACAAGAGAGAAGAGGGTTTCTCCGTCTTCCTGCTATTTTACAATTTAAGACAGGTGTGAATTAGAGAAAAAGCTTTAGCTAAGAACAAGTTATTTAGTTCATTGTAGGCATAAAATGTCATTTCTGCAAATGTAATAGTCCCATTTGCACTAAATATATTGATACTGAGTTCTCTGTGTTCATAAATTCAACATGGATAGTTTGAAGCCAGACATTCACAATTCCTAGAGTGGCTTAATTCACTGTTTTCTCTGTAGAATTTCCTATATCAAAAAGTACCTTGCACAAGACTACAGCTCTGCTTGGTTGTCTGAATTAGTTTTTCGCTCTAAAAACGACATCTGGACCCTTTTTTTGTACCCTATCCCTGAGGTGGATTTCAGCAGAGATTTGTTATGTTTGTTTGGGATTTTTTTTAATCTCTCTCTAGCTATATAAGAGTGTATTTCACTGTGGGAAATGTCAGGTTTTCAAGCATGGAAGAAGTGCAGATAATGAGTAATTATTGGATGTGATTGGAAATACATCAGCAAACAATGCCGTTTAGCACTGATTTTAGATTTGATTTTGGTGTAAAACGAAAGTATGTTACAAGGGCATTATAGATGAGCTGGCTGCCTAGTTCGCATGATAATGGTTGCATTCAGTTGGGATGAATTTGCAGGATAGCCAAAACATCAAAATACATTCTTAAAAGTGGGAATTTAAGAATAAGAAAACTAAGAATCTAGTTGATGAAATAAGGAGACTGTAGATAAACATATTTTGCATGTAAGGGGTGAGGTCTTTAAATCTAAGGTACCAAACATAGTTAGAAGCCTATTTTTGTGAAGTGCAGGTAAAAAAATTTGGAAAGGATTTCAAACCCCAAATAAACAATTCTCTCAAGAATGTATAGTCTAAGCAACAGGTAACACATATCTACAAAGGATTGCCTCAGAACTTTGAAAAGTGCAGAATGAGCAGAGGATCAGTAAGTTTGACAAGGAAGAAAGGGTCATTGTGCAGGGGACAAAAAGGCTTGATATTAAGGATAATACAAGTGTGTCACCAGAGCTAAAATGAATACTTGCCTCACTTTTCAGCAGGATAACATTGAATATGGAGTAAGTTATCAGGGCAGTCCATGAGCACTGAAGTTTTGGAAGGAAGATAACAGACTCCTGTGAATTGAGGGCTGAATATGGATCTTAGCACTGGGTTTGTTATGCGTTAATAATATGGCTTCATATCTTCTGATATGAAAATAATTTTGGCTAAACTGCTGATAGATCCTATGTTAAATCATGTGAATGGCTTTCTTGTAGGTTGTTTTTTTTTCTTTAAAGGTGCAGTGCTTTCAAGAGATGTGCTAAATTTAAAATGCTCTGGTTTTTGTCTCAAAATTTTCTGGAAATTTGGAGAGGATTGCATGAAATATTGAAGAAAAGAATGGAAGGGTAGTCAGTGGCAGGATGTCTTCATGTTACCAAAGAAATAAAATATTTCTAGTTGCAATAGAGTATCTTTTAAAATTAATTCATTCATCAGCACAGTCCTCTACAGAACTTGTTTGAGTGGCATCTAAATTTATAAGCCTGTTAGCTTCGGTTTTATTTGTGTACTCTAACCTTACCTGCTTTTACTCTTTTTAGATACTAAACCTTACTCAGGCATTAAAGGATGAAAAAAGTCCCATTCAGCTTGTTCAGATGCCACGTGTGATTGTAGAGCGAAGTAGCACTGGAAGTCAGGGCCGAATTGTTCACCTGAGTAATGCATTCACACAGACCTTTCATAGCAGGAAGCCTTTCTTTTCCTCCTGGTAGCAACAAAAATACGTGGGAAGAGTAAGTTCTCTTAACTTCAGAAAGCTACTTTTGTGTAAAGGCTCTGCAATAACGTACTTCTGCTGTATACCAAGAGCTCTGACTGCCAACACCTCAGAACTTAAATTCTAAAGACTTAAGAAATGTATTTTGAATGTAATAAAAGTTTACAATTTTTGTGTCAAAATTGTGAATTCTTACGTCAGGGAATGAGAAGAATTTGTCCATACTATATTTTTATAGGCTAAATTAATGTATTCTGAATAAGGGAAGCTAGTTTGCATATGCTGAAAAACTAATTTTGAATACAGTAGGATTTTTTTTGTTTAATATACATGTGAGAATCTATACACTATCAATTTCTTTTTATATGGCCTTTGGAAAAAAAATTTCAGAATGTTATCTTTGATTGTGAAAAATGCTTTTCCTTGGAATTTTTTCCTGATATTTTAAACTGGTTATAGATTTTTGTAGGCTAGTTACTTGAAAAGTCATGCACTTAAAATAATAATCTGTCCTTGACAAACAAGTAGGAGAAAGGGAGAAGGGGAAAAAATGCTCCAACTACTTTTTTTTTTTTTTTGCACGCAGGGACCAAAAATAGTTAAGTAGGTGAATTACAGCAAAATTCAACCTGAATGAATACACAGTTTCTACTGTGACAATAGAAACTGAGTGTACATTTCAGAGGTTGAAGTTTCATTGTAGTGTTTAGAACTTGTGTATTTAAGCATATATATGGAAATTTGTGATATTTCTTTATAGATGCATCACAATGAAGGAATTGCACCGTGTTGTTAGGTTTCTTTTGCCATGCACTATAAATGTGTTCATCAGTTGTCACCAAAGTGGTTCTGCACTGTTAGTGACAGAATCACTGTGTTCATCACGAAGCCAGTTTGCCTTCTAAATTTCTAGCTAAACACAGTTTTTGGTTTTTTGACTGGAAAAAAGAGAACACTTTTTTTTTGACTGGAAAAGACTGTAATGCATACAGCAGAGAATTATTATTGTGCTCTTAGCAATGTCATGCTCCCCTGCCAATTGCCATTTGCATTTATGTTTAAATTACCTGGTTTAAGACTTGATGGTCATGTTTCTAGGTCTGCGGCTTCTGTAACGTGATAAATATTTTTATTTTAGTAATTTCCTGGACATTTAAGACTGGGAATGGGAGAAAGATTGCTGCTTTTATGAAACTTTCAGTATTTCAGACATTGCTGTATTTTGTAATTCTAAGCAATACTGTTGGAACTCAGAAATAATAAAATGCTTGTATTTTATGTAATTTTGAGTGTATGTAAATATTAATGTAGCACGTTAGCAAAGTCACAAAACTGAGATGTTTAAGCCTTAAATGTAAATCCCACCGCAAGGTGGAGCTCGAAAGGAGATGGAAACGCCCACCTTTATAAACTTGACATGATTGTTTTTATCCAGACGGTTTATTAAAAAATTAAAGACAGTGTTGATGCACGGGGTCCGCCTGCTGAGGACAATGAATGTCCAGTGGGACCGGCTCGGGGTCGGGGCTCCGCCGTGTCCCTTGTCCCCGGGTGGGGGGGTCCCGCCGGGGCCTCCACGCCGCTGGGGGGCGCCGCCCGCTGCAGGCCCCGCCGCTCGCGGTGGCCGTCGGGAAGGAGGCGGTGCGATGGCGGCGGGGGAGCGCAGCCCCGGCGGCATCGCTCTGATCGGACCGGCGTCCGGCGCGCCCAGCTGCCCGCACGGTGAGCCCGGAGGGGCGGGGGGCACCGCCCCAGCGTCCCTGGGCTCCCGGCAGGGCTTACCTTGCAGCAGCCGTTGGGAATACCTTGTTCTGGGAGCTCGGCTCTTGCAGCGGAGCGCGGGAACAGACCTGCTGGTGTCCCCTGTGTCATCGTGTCGTGGCGTTTGTCCCCAGGTCCTGCACTGCTGTTCGTGAAGACCAGCCAAGGAAAAGAGGAAGGGAGAAGATTCTATGCTTGTTCAGCCTGTAGGGATAGAAAGGATTGTAGCTTTTTTCAGTGGGAAGATGAGAAGGTAAGAGAGCGTTGCTTAAGACTCTGCTGGAGACTCAGGACTACGGAGGTGATCCGAGGGCTGGAGCACCTCTCCTAAGGGGACAGACAGAGAGTTGGGGTTGTACAGCCTGGAGAAGAGAAGGCTCCAGGGAGACCTTTTATAGCACCTTCCACTATAAGGGGCTACAAGAAGGACTTCTTATATTGGCATGTAGTGATAGGACAAGGGGTGATGACTTTAAATGCAAAGAAGGTAGGTTTGGACTAGCTGTTAGGAAGAAATTCTTTACTGTGACAGTGGTGAGGCACTGCAACAGGTTGCCCAGAGAACTGGGGATACCCCATCCCTGGAAGTATTCAAGGCCAGATTGGATGGGGTTTTGAACAACATGCTCTAGTGGAAAGTATCCCTGCCCATGACAGGGGAATTGGAGCTAGATGATCTTTAAGGTCTCTTCCAACCCAAGTTGTTCGATGATTCCATGAAATACTGGGGATTTTTTTACCTATTTAACAGTTTAAAAGTATATTTTGTTCTGGAAATCTGTGGCAATTATCACTTTCTAAACTTTATCTAATAGTTTATACTTAGCAGAGCACTTATTTCTGTCAGGAGAACATGTTTCGAGTATAACTTTTAAGGAAGGCTATGCACATTTTGAGCAAAATTGGCACTTCTTACTGTATTGCCAAAATGCATAGATAATTAAGGTTGCTAATGCTAAGCAATGTTGAACAAAATGGGATACTTCTGTTCCCAAGATGCTCTCATCTCCCATAATTAAGACAGAGGAAATCTATTGGATGCAAACAAAAAGTGGGGTATACAAAATTCTGAGATGGTGGGGTTCAGCATGATACTCAGCGATTTCTCACTGTCTAAAGACCTTTGGTCACATAATTTTGTAGGGTAATGAAATTGGGATTGATATGTATTCATAGAGAGCTTACCATGTTTTTTTCCAGTGTGTTTTGTTTTACTTTTTCTGTTTCCTGAGTGAGTATCTTGTGAGATTGGCAGGCTGCAATTTATTTGGGTTCATAATTGGTTTTTTGCTGTGCTGCTTACTATTGAAAAGTTGTAGAAAGAGAAAACGAGATGGTTGGTCACTGGATTGTGTAGATTTAAATGGGATTCCTAGTGATAAGTCATTTTAAATGTCACTTGTATCATGGTGTCTGTTGTTCTGTCTCCTCCTTTAAATAAAACAGTTCCATAAGTTTTGTGAAAATGTCTTGAAACTGTTCCACGTGAAACCATGAGTATGTTGTGGTAACAAAGTAGAAGAGTCAGAGAAGAGTGTGAGAGACCGAAATGTTAAAGTTTAATGACTCGAACTCAGTGACAGGTCATAACAAAGAGCTGTTGTCCTTTTAAAATGATCACACACAAAAGACTTGGGCAATGTTTTTGCTGTCATCAGTTTTTCAGGATCAGATCATAGTTCTTCAGAGGGAATGGAACTGCTGGCACACATTAATGGAAAGGATAACTCTTTCTGTCTCCATCACAGTCACGTTTTGAGTTTTTCCCTGAGTAGAAGATATGTAGTAGAAGAATGAAATACTATTTATTTTTTTGCACAGTTTAACTTCACAGTGAGAGACTGGTGTTGTTTTGCAGCGTGCCCCTGTGTTGCAGTCATGCTTGTTCTTCTGAAACAACAGACCAATGAATGTGATGGTTTTTCCTTGCAGAGTAACTAAAGCATGAGACCTTTGATGCACCCCTTTTGTTTAATGTTGAGATTTGATGTACAACACAGAGCAATAGGTGTTTGTTTTGTAACTTTTTACGTACACAAATTTTACAGGTGTCGGAAACAAGGCTTGCAGCACGTGAAGAATATAATAGAAATCATCAGCCTACTTTCACACACAGACAGAATGTGGAAAGGTATTGTTATGCATATTTCCTTTAGTAGAAATGAAGTAATACAAGTTTAGGTACTCTGAATGTAGAGAAAACATTTCAGGATTCTTTAAAGTATGAAGGTGCGGCAGAGGGATTTGGACAAATGGGAAAATAGCATGAAACAACTAATTAGAGCAAGTATTTTCAACCCAGGAACTGGAGTTTTTTGGGTTTTTTTATGTTTGTATAGTTCTTCTGATGTTAGTGCTCATAATACGCTAACAACAGATCAGTAGTAGTTTCAGTTAATTTATGTCTGACTTTAGTTTGCAAAAGTAATAGGCTTAACATTGTAAAAAGAAGCAAAGGTAATACAGTAACAAATAATGTCTGAATTTTTGTGTATAAACATACAGGAATTTGCAGTTAGTCTATGAAATCTTCACTCTGTAATCCAGTTATTTTGTGGAGACTCCCAATATATTTGGCTACCATATATTATGTGCATTTCAGAGTGTCCTTTGAATATTTTTTCATAAATAATACTTAATTCACATGTGGAGTTTTGCAAGAGCAGTGTAAACGGCATTGTCTGTTTAAATGTCTGAATACTTAAAAAATGTGAAACTCCCTCTATAGCTCCACTACGTGTCTTTCATAGAGGCTTTTTGCAAAGTTTGTTCCCTATTGTCTTTTTTATTTAAAGGTACAAGAATTTTGTTCTGCTGCCATTATCAAAGAGGAGGTTTTGCCAGGAATGCCAGCAATTGCTATTGCCAGCAGAATGGGAAAAACACTTGAATCACCAGTTGCTGTGTGATATTTCCACTGCCCAGCTGAAAAGTCCCAGTCAATTTCTGTATCCACTGGAGAATAAAAAAACAAATGCACAGTATTTATTTGCAGACAGAAGTTGCCAGTTTCTACTTAATCTCCTTATTGATTTAGGATTCAGACGAGTGCTCTCTGTTGGAACACCCAGGTACGTCAGTGAGAGTTGTTACAGTTTCAAATAATATTTATATCTCAAAACTGTGCAGCTTACTAATGATTACATAATCAGTGATTCTCCCATAATTAGAGGTTCATTATGCTTTAATTAGCTGGGGTTATCCAAGCATCTAGTGGGGTCTTGCTTTGAGCTAATAAGATACAGGAGAAGACTGCGGCAGCACTGCAAATAACACAAACACACATACACACTTCAGTTCTTCTGCTTTGTTTCTTACTGCAGTGACTTTTCTTTGGCTTTGTTTCAGGGGGTTTTTATGCAAGGTGATCCAATAGGTTTCACTGACTTTTCATCTTTTAAGACTAACCTATTTTTCTAACTCTGAGTATTGGCCAAAGGGAATCACCCAAATTCAGATTACTCCATTTTCTCTATCTGTTTGGTTTTAGGTTTAGTAAAGTACCAGGCATTCTTGTCTTGCAAGATCATTTCTGAAGCCAGTGATTATGTGTTAAATTTTTTTGCTCCAATTATACTTCAGGCTTCATGAAATGATCCAGTCAAAAGCATCACAAGAAGAAGATTTCAGAGTTAGAAGCCTTCTACTAGATATTGATTTCAGGTAGGTTTTAACCTTTTTCTGTCTGAAGAATAAGTATAAAGATTTGTGTTCTTACTACTTTAAAAGATAAATTGGTGGTTGTTTTCACTTTCTTGTCTCTGCATCTTAGTTCATGCACACATACACAAATGACATCCAGTTTATGAGAAAAATAATTATACTTAATAATTCCTCAGTATAACTATGTGTTGTCAGTAAGCAGAACCCAAAGATATTGTTTTTCTTAAGGCCTATTTTCAGTCTAAATGCCTTTTAGAACACACAAGAAGTTGTTTATATTTTTCTACTACTATTCAAACTTATTCTACAGGTATTCACAATTTTACACAGAGGATGAATTCTGCCACTACAACATGTTCAATCATTATTTTTTTGGTGGAGAGGTAAGGCCAAGTATTTATTGAGTGCTTTTGTAAAGAAGTATGTGTTGTCAATGCAAAATTTTCTAAGAAGCTAGTCTAGTAGAAAACATCATGAGAAAAAATGGTTATAATACTAAAAACCAAAGAATGACAGTGCCTCTTCAGTAATTCTCTCCCACTTATTATATTTATGTTAGCTAATGTTGCTTAGACACCTTAATTGCTGCTTTTATTAAAATGAAGGTGTGGTGTGAGCTGTTGCCTCACATAAGTATTCATTACCCCTTTTCTTGTGTTGCTACAACAGAATTCATTATTTTATTCCCAACCTTTACCAGCCCAGTGGATGCTACAAGACTTGATCACTGGTACTTGAGATGGGAGGAAAATGAGGGTTTATGCTTTGTTCCAAAAAAGCAACGTCAAAAGGTTAACCTTGTTGTCATATAATGAGATTGATGTGGTGTTTTTATAATGGCCAGTCTTCGCGAACGAAGATTTTGGGAAAGGTCTTTTACCTTTCAAGCCTGCGCAATGGATTTTTTTTTTTAGGTGAGTTAGCTCCATCTGCCCGGGGGACCAGGAATCAAACCTGGGTTGCAGCGGTGAGAGTGCCGCATGCTAACCACTAGGCCACCAGGGGTCCCTTGATGTGGTGTAATGGTCAATGAAAATGCCAAATTTC